TTTTTCCCAGTTTTAACTGTTATTTTTCTTTCAGTAAGGTTAAAAAAGAAAGTGGATGTTCCTTTCTCAAAGTGGAAATGTGAAAGATAGACCAAGAGGGCGATACGTTTAAGGAAAAAATGGTGGAAAGTATATTATGGAAGTGAAGACTATTACCTGTTTAATGCAGCGGACCGCTATGTGGAAATGATCTGTCTTAAGACACCTGGACCACTTTGCTCATTTTTGTGACCCACCTGGTCTCTGCAGGCATTTTGCTGTGACTTGTGACCAGAGTCACCTCCCTGGTCTGATGGCTCAGAGACGAGCGGAGTCGTACTCTTCTCAACACTTGTAATATGTTATCACCGCACCATTGCCGTTCTTGTTGAGAGCTCACGTGAGACAGGGGCGGTGCTGAAAGAGGGGAGCTCCAACTTGGGTAATGAGAGGATTTTTATAAGAATTAGTGAGCAATCCAAGATTTAAAAAGAAAAAAATCCAAAACATCAATTTGTTGCTAGCCTCCTGGGAGAACACAAAGCTCCAACCTCCATAGCTCTGTGGGAAGCAGAAGGAGCCAAACGAATTTCCTTTCGGCTCAAAAGCAGGAAGATGGCAGATGAGGGGAAGCAATGGAGAGGATTTGAGTCCAAGCACAGCTGTTGAGTGTTTGCGTGTGACTGCACTTGTTGTGACTGCAGGAGAAAGAGATCAAGGGAGTGGCTTCTTACCAGTAGGGACGTAGCCCTGGGAGGGTCTGACGGCCGTGTAGACCTGAGGTGGCTTTTGGTGGCTGGGCTGGGGTGCGGACACTGGGAGAGCTGAGAAATGGCCCATGTCACTTAACTTCTGAACCTGTTTCTTCATCCACTTTCCTTGCCCATCTCATGAGATGGTGATGAGGATCAAACAAGATAACACACTGTAGAATTCTGAAACCGTGGAGGGCTACAGAGTACAGATGAGATTCCAGAAGGAACTCGTGAATCATCCCAGAGCCAGTCCATCAGCTGGTTCTATTGATTCCATCACTCACAACTCTCCAAATGTATCTTCTGTCCATTGCTCTGCCACCAACCTAGTGCAGGGCGTCCGCTGCTGTACCCCCCGGCCTGGAATCCCCGCAGGCGCCTCCTAACTGCTCTCCCGGCATCGTTGCCCTACTACCCCTGCTCCATATGGCAGGAAGAGTGATCTTTATAAACACGCATGTAACTAAAATCCTCCATTGCCTTGTTGATACATGTCTTGCCATGACCTATAAGGGGGCCCTTCGTGATATGGCCTCCCACCTCTGCAGTGTCCCCCACCCCTGCTCTCCAACTCCACTCCATCCCTCTACTGCCTGAAGCTTCCCCGCAGGGGCTCTGCCGTCACCAGCTCTCTCCCCCTGCACACCTCAGCTTCTGCTTCCCTTTCCTGTCCCCTCCTCGACCACCCTCCGTGGGGCTGCTGCTCCTTGTTATTTCCCCCTCGGCCTTCAGTCCACGTCACAGCACTTATCACACCTGGCCGCTAGTGTTTTTTTTTTTTTAATTGTGGTAAAATACACATAACATAAAATTTCCCATCTTAACCATTTCTAAGTGTACAGTTCGGTGGTGTTAAGTATATTCACGTTGTGGTGCAGCGAACCTCCAGAACTCTTCATCTTGCAGAACTGAAACTCTATACCCATTAAACCTCAAATCCTCGTTCCCCCTCCCCCCAGCCCCTGGCCACCACCATTCTTCTTTCTGTTTCTGAATTTGACTGTGCTAGGAAGCTCCTGTGATGGAATCATACAGTATTTGTCTTTTCGTGACTGGCTTGTTTCACTTAGCTTAATGTCCTCTAGGTTCATCCATGTTGTAGCAAGTGACAGGATTTCCTTCCTTTTTAAGGCTGAATGATATTCTATTTTATGTGTATACCACCTTTTATTTTTCCATTCATCTGTTGATAGATGGGTTGTTTCCACCTTTGGCTGTTGTGAATGATGCTGCAATGAACATGGGAATACAAATATTTCTTTGAGACCTTGCTTCCAATTCTTTTGAGTATATACCCAGAATTGGAATTGCTGATCATCTGGTAATTCTATTTTAATTTGTTGAGGAACCACCATACTGTCTTCCATAGTGACTGCGCCATTTTACATTCCCACCAGCAATGCACAAAGGTTCCAATTTATCCGCATCCTCACCAACACTTCTTTTCTATTTTTTTAAATTATAGCCATTCTCATGGGTTTGAGGTGGTATTTCATTGTGGTTTTGATTCGCATTTCCCTAATGATAGTGATGTTGAGCATCTTTTCATGTCTCTGTTGGCCACTTGTATGTCATCTTTGGAGAAATATCTGTTCAAGTCCTTTGCCCATTTTTTAAGCTGGTTGTTGGTTTTTTGTTGTTGGGTCGTAGTTCTTTGGCCTCTGGTTCTTAGGTGTATGAGAATTTGGTGTGTACTTGCTAACATCTACCGGCAAGGCTGTGCCCACCTTGTTCCCTGCCGTCTCCCCAGCGCCCATTGTAGAGCCTGCACATGGTTATTGGCTGATGAACAAACATGCCTGTAGCTCTCAACAGCGAAGGAGTAGAAGAATGTCTTAATTCGTGCATTCATGCTTGTTTTGAGGAGGATTTAAGGCTCTGGTCACCTCTCTTTGGAACCATAGCATTCGTGGTGAAGAATGGCAGGTGACCCTGAATAGCCTTTACAATGGACAGATCAGTCTAGATGGGTGTTATTTCACTGCTTTTGGACTGCTTGTTTGTCGACTGTAAGTCCCATTTTGTCTAATAACGCTGGTCCTGATGGTGGAACTGTCCATGTGTCCTGATGGTGGAACTGTCCATGTGTCCTGATGGTGGAACTGTCCATGTGTTCGCTTATTTTATAGTTTCAAAATATGCTGCCATCTAATTAGTGTCCTTTGACCCTCCCTTATGAGGAAGGCAGGGAAAGTGTACTGCGGCCTCACGGGTGGGCAGAGCAGAAAGGAGAGGCTGAGTCACCCACCATCTCTCCTCCCACCTCTAGTGTCTGTCTTCTCCTCGGTCCTCGGTCCTCCCTGACTCCCCCCCCAGGTCTCCGCCCCTTTGGTGGGTCAGCCCCAGGTCTTACCAGTTCTCTGTCACTGACAGCCCCTCCCTCCCTCCCTCTGTCTTCTCCTGCTTCATTCAGGCCCTGTGGTTCCTCACCTGGATGGTGGTTCCTCACCTGGATGGTGGCGAGAGCTCCCTACCTCGTGTGGACCTGTGGGCACGATGCTATTCACTGCTGCCAGAGTAAACGTTCCAAAACCCCAATTTCATCATTTCCTATGGAATTTGAATTCTTTGATGTTTCCACGTTGCCTTCAGGATAAAGTCCACACCATTCACGTGGCACCCAGGCTCTTCACAGTGGCCTCAGCATCCACCACGACTGCCGCCCTGGCCGCCCCAGCCCTCCAGCCTCTTTCCCTGCAGCCTTTCAGACGCTGCCACCTCTGCCTACGATGCCCCCACACCTGACTACCCCAACTTATCCCCGAGTGTCAGTGTCATCCTGTGCATCCTGACCTGCTGCCCCCCACCTCCGCCCCAGCCGGAGTCGGGCCCCCGCCTGCCCTGGCTCGCTGTGTCTCTGTGTTTACTTCTTGGTACCGCGTGCCCGTGTGTAGGTAGTTGTACATTTCTTTGTCAGTCTCCTCGCTGGGCTGTGCATTCTGAAGCTGGGGCGGTGTCTTTTATCTCCGTATTTCAACAGTTGGCCCAGTGCCTCTCACAGGGTAGGTCTTTGTGGAAAGGAGGAGGGAGAGGAAAAGGGAAAGTTTGTCTGATTTCAAAGTTCATGTGCTCACTGTCCCCGCCACCCCCTCTCACCCCGCCCACCATCACATTCTCCCAGTCTAGGGTGAGGGAGGTTATGGGTTGACTCCCAGAGTGGCCCAGTCAGCAATTCTTGGTTCCATGGCCACTCTGAAACTCACCGACCCCGGCCTACCTTCTGGTAAATGCATCCTGGCGGAGAGGGATGACTCATGTGTGTGACTCAGCCTGAATGCAGCACAGCTGGAAAGGCGGCCCGTGTGTCTGCCTGGGGGAGGAGGGTTTAGGGAGCAGCAGAGAGCCAGGCCCTGTTCAGGAGCTCTTGCAACCCTGCAGCCTGCTAACTGGAACGAAGGTATAAATCCTCCTGTGTGCGTGGAGAAAGAGGCTGTGGTAACAGAGCTTTACAAGTCTTATACAGCTGGGATTCTAGCTAACTTATTACTGTTAAATAGCATTTTAATAAACTTCCACTTATTCCGTGCATACTATGGTTATAGGCACTGTGATGAGCATCTTGCATATGAATTGTCTCATTTAATCCTCACAATAGCCCAATCTCAACAAGAATAATAGCAACTTCATGGATAGCAGTTACTATGTGCCAGATACTGTTCTGAGCACTTTGCGTTTATTAAGTCATCTAATTCTCCCAATGACCCTGTGATACAGGAAGTGTTATCCTTATTTTACAGATGAGGAAACTGAGGTACAGAGAGGTCACTCATAGAGGTGTTCTAAAGTCACACGGGAAGTAAATGACAGAGCTGTGATACACACTCAGGCTTCTGAGTCCACATACTTAACCCCTATGCTGTGCTTCCTCAATAAAGTATAACTACAGTGCCATTTTATAGAGAAGGAAATTGAGGCTCAGAGAGGTTGGTTACTTATCCATAGTCACACAGCCAGGGAGTGGTGGAGGGTGGCAGTCTCCAACCCTGGGCTGTCACCACTGCACCCTCCTGCCCAGGCTCAGGAGATGTAGTCATCACGATATGCAGTGGGCTTGGTTCTCCTTAGCCTGCCCCGTTGGTGCCACCCAAGGGCCAAGTCCACAGGTTGGGTAGGATTCTAGGGAAGGAACTCTTTCTTCTAAGTCTAGGGTTACAGCAAAAGGGAAGCATTCGATGGCACATTCTGTTTCAGATCTCTCTTCAGTTTTGGGTCCCAGAGCATTTGCTCCCCCCAGGGACGCTGACGGGGCTCTTGTCACCTCCACAGACAGCGAGACTGTGCACTACCACTACGGGCCCAAGGACCTGGTCACAATCTCGTTCTACGTCTTCATCACCATCATCTTGCACGCCGTGGTTCAAGAGTACATTTTAGACGTAAGTGATGTGTCTGGATCCTGAGACAGAGATCGGGGGGCTGCTTGGAGGAAACTGCAGCTCTGTACCTGTTCACCCCCTAATTTGTGTGCCCTCTTTGGTCCTGTTGACTCCATGTCCCTCACCACACTTTGGTCTCTGTCGCTCTCACAGCCTCCTTTAGTCAGCACGTGGGACGGCAGTATTTATCGCACGGGAGAGAGCTGCCCGGGCTGTGACAAGATGGCGTCCTTGTGGGTCTCTGGTACATAGCATGATGGGGGCGGGTTTCTTTACATCTAGGCTAAAGACATTAATCTTGCTTTTTCTCAGAATGCTTGCCTTGAACTAAGCACTGTATGCACACAGTAGGCTTACACTGAATAACTTGGATTATGGCTGCCTTCAAACTTCAGCCCTTTCGTGGGGAGAAAACAGGAGTCGATGCCTGGTACCAATACACTTTTATATTAATATGCAGGATTCTCTTTATTATTTTTTAGAAAATCAGCAAACGGCTTCATCTCTCCAAGGTTAAACACAGCAAGTTCAATGAGTCTGGACAGCTGGTCATCTTTCATCTCAGCTCGGTGATATGGTGCTTCTATGTGGTGGTGACGGTGAGTGGCCCTCGGGACTGCTGGAGGGGCTGCCAGGCAGTGGGTCTCTTCGTGGATTGCTAATGAGATGTCTGCGAAGGGCTTAGTGAGGAAGAAAAAGAGTAAGGGGCGGTATGTAAACTTGGGGCAGTTTCTTAGAACTGAAGCTATTTTTGTAGCCTCGTGGTATTTGCAGTGAGAGAGAGGCCAAACTGTATAGATGCCATTTTATAGCTGGAGAGTCACCTTGTCCAAAAATAAACACTTGTTATGGCTGTAATGTGGTGTTACGATAATGATACTGTATATCTACATAGCACTGCATCGTTTTACAGGGCCCTCCTACAAATGCTATCCATGAGAGAAATTTTATGTTCATTCTGGTACCCGTGTGATGGATTGAAGAAACCCAGGCTCAGATTTCACAGTGTGCTCCTGATCACCTGGTTTTTATGTTTTGATTGGCCCTGAGCTAACATCTGTTGCCAGTCTTCCTCCTTTTTTCCTTTTTTTCTCCCCAAAGCCCCAGTAGATATTTGTATGTCATAGTTGTACATCCTTCTAGTTGCTGTGTGTGGGACACCACCTCAGCATGGCTTGATGAGCCGTGCTTAGGTCTGTGCCCAGGATCTGAACGAGCGAATCCTGGGCCACCAAAGTGGAACTCGAGAATTTAACTGCTGCGCCACTGGGCCGACACCGATCACCTGGTTTTGAAGTGTCAAGGACAGGGGTTGGACTTGAGGGTCTGGTTCCAAATTCAGCACACTTTCTGTTTTATGACTTTGTCCTTCTGCGAGCAAAGCCAACACCCCCGTGTCCGTAGATCAGATCTTGTGAGAGCTGACGCCATTCCCACAAAGGCCTAGAGGACCAGACAATTTGTCTACTCCCCTTTCTATGCAATAGGGCTCTTACTTCAAGCAACCTTTGATACAGCAAAATTCCTTCATACGAAGGAACGTGGACAGTCCTTTGGGGTTCGCTGTCACCAGACCAGGCTTGTCGTGCTCGGAAGTGTTTAATTAGTGCACATGAGTACACACACACACACACACACACACAGAGCCCCCTGGAGCGCCGCCTGTCTGTAACCTGGTCTCTTTCTCAGGAGCTAGCATTGTCCCGAGAGAAATCCAGGCTCAGGGCTTGGAAAATTCAGCAACCCTGTGTCACCTTTTACAGATTTCCTTCCCTCCCTCCCACTGACCCCTCACCCCCTTCCTCTTCCTCCGTCCTTCAGCAACAGTGAGGAGTTTTCACGCACTAAGGAACTCTGTCTGCAGAGCTGAGAGCTGAATTCATATTCTCAAAGCAGGAGTGACATGTCCTTTTGATTATTGCTTTTGTGTCTATTATCATTTAATCTCACAACAGTTTTCCTAAACAGAACTGTCCTCTCAAGCAGGGCTGCGGTGTTCCTCTGTCCCAGGGGGTGACTTCCAGTGTGGTCTGTGTGAATAGCACCCCTTGGCGTGGTGCAGCGCACATCCTGGCCCTGGGAAGCATAGGTGCTTCTGGATTCCAGACCTCTCCCGAGTGCTTGGCGTTTGGTTCATGGGGCCTCTGGAGACCCTGAACTGCTTTGAGGCACACCGGCCTCAGGGTGCCTCATTTAACTGCTCTTTCAGAAGAAGCATTGCCTCATCTCTGAATCACTTTGACCCTTTCTACCTTACATCCAGACATTCCACCCCAGCTGTGACACATTAGATCGGATTGGAGGCCAACAGCCAAGTTACGTAACACCCCTTCCAGAGTGTGAAATGCTCAACCGCTCTCTCTGCTTCTCTCGGGCCTTCAAGGGCTGCAAAATGGTGATGTTAATTAGTCTGGGAGTGTGTAGCACTTTTCTTGAGGAAGCTCAGAACAGGCTTCTGTTATGGTGAAAGCCAGTTCCTCACTCAACATCTTCCACAGGAAATGGAGCCAAGGGGACCCTGGGAAGCTCCAGTAACCCCAACTCCTAATGACACCAAGTAGCTCCTGGCCCTCACCTGTTCCATGTGAGCCATTCTGCAGGGGATGAAAGTGAACGAAGAAGAAAGGGTAGTTTTGTAAAAGGAGTAAAAACAGCTGGTTTTTTAAAAAATTATATTTTTTATATGATGCAAATTTTCCTTGATTCTTCTCTTTCTTTCATTCTCCACAGTCAGTCCATCAGCAGGTACCGCCAACCCTCTACCTCCAGACACAGTGAGGTTCTGTCGGCTGCTTTCTACCTGCACTGCCGCCCCCAGGCCAGTGGCTCTCTCCAGGAAGAGTTTGTTCCCCTTGGGACATTTGGCAATATGCCACTGGCATCTAGTGGGTAGAGGCCAGGGATGCTGCTGACTCCTACAATGCACAGGACAGTCCCCACAACAAAGGCTTTATCTGGTCCCAGATGTCAGTAGTGCCAAGGCTGGCTGATCTTTAGTCTGAGCTACCATCATCTCTTGCCTGGATCACTGAATATCTTCCTTCTGGAAAGAGGCTCTTTCCACTCCTGTACCCTCCCGCCCTAATCCATTTTCTGCTCAGCCAGCCAGACTGCTCAGCCAGTCATGCATTCCCCTGCTTAAAAGCCCCCATCCCACTGGCAGTGAAATTGTTTTTCTTCCTCACTTCTGTACTCTGGGCCCTGCAGCCTTGCCTGTCTCGTCTCACTGGCCCCAGCCCCACCGTCTTGCCTCTGCTCCTCTAACTCTCCTGGCATTCCTGCCTCCTGGGCTTTGCACGGTGGTTCCTCTGATCAAATGCTCCATCCCCTGACATCTTTTGGCTGGCTTCTTGCCATCCAAGTCGCCACCTAAATGTCACCTCCTCAGGGAACCCCCTCAGTTTATATTTTCTGCACCATGCCCATCACCATGGTGTTTTTTCTTGTTTGTATGTGTATTCTTTGCTGTCTCTCCCACTAGACCCCGAGCTGCTTGCAAGCAGGCGCCATGCTCTCCTGTATCCCTGGTACAGTCCCTGGCACGTCCTAAGTGCTCACTGAATACTGGTTGTGAGAATGAATGAATAAACTGCAACCGTCTTCTTGCTCCAACCTTCAACAGTTTTTAAAGTAACAAATTGATTGTTTTTATAAGCATCATGGATGATCATTTTTTAAAAAGTAAGCAATATGTAAAAGTTCAAGAAAGAAAGCAAAAATTTACTTCAAATCTCTCCCTCCAGAAATAACCAGTTTTATTTTGCCTGTCGGTGGGTGGGATTGGGGTGGGTTCCAGGTGCTCCCTCTGCCTCACTCGGCCCCCTGTGGCCTCAGGTAGTTGGGATGCCTGGGCTCTGAGGGTGTCCCCCCCCCCCCGCCCAGGCCACCCTCAGGTAGCTGCCTGGCCTGAGCTCTGGAAAAGGCTGCTCTCAGAGCAGTGAGTCATTTTTCCTTGGGCCCCCCTGCTCCCCTCCCTCCAGCCCCTCCTGCACAGTCCCCATGGACTGGACATTGCAAGCAGGCAGCATTTTTCTAGGGAGTTTTCTTGGCTTGTTGGCTTCAAGGTCTTGACCTTTTTGTCTCCCAAGTAAAGGGGCCAAGCCAAGGAGGGTTCCTGTTGAAGAGCACAAGATCATCTGGCCTTTAGATTTCTCTCAGTGCTGCTTTCCTTGGCCAGACTTTTTTTTTTTTTTTTTGGTAGAAGTTCCTCTCCCACCTCAGTCCCAGAAGTACCATTTTGCTCCTTAAATACCTCGCTGCTTCCTCTAGGAAGGAACATTCTCATCTCTCTGATTTCCCTGGCGTGAGGTGGCGAGGGTGGCAGACCGTGTATGGCCGTGTGCCCGGGGCCACATTCTGATGTAGGAGAGAGGGATGACAGCAGTGCGGGGGTTGGAAGGCACTCCTCCCACCCCGCAAGTGCCCCAAGACCTTCCACCTCTGTGCATGACCTGGGGAGAAAGGGCTACAAGAGTGAGGAGAGAGTAGAAAGGAGGCCATGAGGGTTTCGGGTGAGACGTCACCATGACTACACTGGTGCATGTGCCTGATTGGACCTGCTGGGTCATTGGGCTAATGAGGGCCTAGGGTGTGGGGTTGGGGCTGTGGATTGTACTCCATGTGTCCAAGGACGTTCAGTGACTTGGCTGAGTGGATCAGCCCTCCATTGGAAATACAACAGAGGATCCGCTGGGCAGTCCACCCAGGGTTTCTCACTCAACCCTGTTGGCCTCCCCCTCCTCCTGAGCACTGCCGCCCCGTGCCCTCAGTCCCACTGTGAACACTGAAGGTCTCAGCCTTCTTGTCAGAGGCACCAGCTCAGTTTATTTCCTGACTCGCTGAAGCAGCCTGGCCGAGGTTGGACAGGAGGTTGGTGGCGCAGCTGAGATTTCAGCAGCACAGCTGAAAAACCATCTCCTTTCAGGAGATCCTTCCTGTCTGTTCCTTCATTTCCCTGTTTCTAAAATGAGGCCATACTAATCTAACCTCTGAGTGACACATAAGAGCCTTTTCTTTTTCCTCAGAAGACAGAAATTTTCTAAAGCATTCATCATTCATTGATTCATTCAACCAACAAGTTTTTATTGGACTCTTGTGGAGTCAGCCGACTCTTGTTCATGGTGGATTGTTTCCTCATGTGTTTTGTAATCTTGGATTATAAACTCATCTTTAGCAGGATTTTATGTGTGAGAATCCTGGACATCCTCCGATGAGAGTATGTCCCAAAGGTATCACTGGCCCACAACACTACTAATACTGATTTCTTAGCTTGGTGGTTCCTGGACCACACAGGTGCTGTAAATTTCAACTCCAAACCCAAACCCAGGTGAAAGTGAACCCGAGGTTACAAATTCTCGCAGGATAATATTTTGTTTTCATCCTGAGTCCAGGGTGAGCAGACATCTTCATCTCCCTGTGTTGGTTGTCAGACTCTTTCTAGTCGACTCTTTCTCTGAGGTGCTAGCCCTTTGAGGGTCCTGATTTTTTGCAAGGGTCTCGCCTCCACCTCGCAAGGCACCAGCTTCTGTCCCCACATGGGCAGGAACACCCTGGCCCTACAGCGCCACCTTACTGCTCTGGCTTTCAGCTCCTTGTCCCTTTTGGGTCCCAGGGGTTTTCCCTTTCTTATTGTGAGCTCAGCTTTGAGTTTAAAAGAATATTTGTTAGATATTATTCAGCATTTCTAGATGTGTTATGATGGGAGGGTTTTCGGGTGACCTGCCACTTTGTAAGAGGCCCAGGGCTAGATGCAGGAGGTACAAAGAAGGGCAAGAAAAGACCCCAGAAGGAAGAAACTTGCAGCTTAATGGAGGCAACTGGCTGCAGTGATGCAGTGTGACAAGTGTCGTACTCATGAGGCCTGTGGGACAAGGCCTCATGGTGAGGCCTGTGGGGTCCTGCATTCTCTTTATTCATGGTGATGTGAAAAGCCAAACTAAGCTTTTCATTTTCCCAGTGGACGGCAGTTCTGGAGTCCATTTGCTTATTCATTCTACAAGCATTTCCTCAGTGCCAACATGCCAGACATAAGAGTAGACACTGTCACATCAACATAAACTGTCACATTTATTTCTAATAATAACTCTGGGAGGGTGAGTATTTTTATCATCATTTTACAGATGAGCCAACTGAAGCTTAGGGAGACTAACTTGCTTGGAGGATGCAACTAGTGAGTGTGTGACCCACGTTCAGACGCAGGGCTTCTGACCCCAGAGCAGGGCTTTCCTACTCTGTCGTGACTCTGTCACAATAAAGAAACCGGCCAGGTGCCAGCGGGTCCCACAGGGAGGTCCTCTGTTTTCACGCTTCCTGTTCCTTCCTCTTTCTGGCAGCTGGGGCTTGGGTGCATCCCTGACCCTGGATCCCTGGGCCTGCCCAGACCCCAGGAGTCTCATGTTCACGTCTTTAAATGCTGTCTCTTCTCGTCCACTACAGGAAGGATATTTAACAAACCCGAGGAGCCTCTGGGAAGACTACCCGCACGTGTACCTCCCGTGAGTATGCTCGTGACTCGGGCCCTGGGGAGGAGCGGGCTGGACCCTGGCTTCCTCCTCCCAGAGTGTGGCCAGAATGCTACAGGGCCAGCTGGCGTGTGGACCGGCTCATACACCAGCCTGTCGCGGCACAGTGCTGTGGGAGGAGACTTGTCTGGGAGCTGCTTCCTCCAGTGTGCTTGACTGGAGAATCCCACGGTGAAGTGTGGTCTGCACTAGCCCCCATCACAGAGGCAATGTCACAGTCAGCTCGGGCTGCTGTAACAGAACACCACTCACTGGTGGCTTATAAACAACAGAAATTGATCTCTTACGGTTCCAGAGGCTGGGAGGTCAAAGCTCAAGGTGCCAGCAGGTTTGGTGTCTGGTGAGAGCCTGCTTCCTAGTTCATAGATGGCCATCCTCCTGCTGTGTTCTCACAGGGCAGAAGCAGAGAGGGAGCTTTCTGGGGCCACTTTTGCAGGGACACTAATCCCACTGACAAGGGCTCTGGCTTTATGACTATATCACCTCCCAAAGGCCCTTTCTAATACCATCACACTGGGGGTCAGGATTTCAACATGGGAATTTTGAGGGGACACAGACATTCAGGCTGTAGCAGGTACCCAAACCACATGAGACAGATAGGGAAGCAGAGTATCTCCATAAAGTTCTCTGGGCTTTGTACCTTCTTGACGACCCATCACGTTGTCACATCTTCCCTCCATTCGTCCATGGCTGGTGATCCTTCAGAGGCAGCATCCCCTTCCTCCCCTGCTCTGTGCCACTGGGACTCCAGGAGGACGGCCCCTGAGCCCGCCTCCCTCAGGAGACCACTCTGCCTTTCCTGAGACCCTTTAGAGCGACAGTAGAGGACTCACAGCTGAGTCACAGCCTGCCTTTGCTCTGAGACGCGTCATTCCTCAGTGTATCTGTGTCGCCATCTTCTCCATTGACGGTGCTCTAGAATCCGCTCCCCCCTTAGCCTGCCCTTCTGCAGGCGGAAGACCCTCCCCTTCTGCACTCTTTCCATCATTTTTGTTTCTTTCCATGGACTTTCTGGCCCTTTAAGTGCCCTCGTCTGTGGAGCAGGGTCCCCAGGCTCAGAGGTGCAGTGCTGTGGCCTCCCTCCTTCCCTGGCTCCTGGACCAGCTCCTTAACAGTCCTGGCCCTCACCTCTCCTTCCTGTGCTCGGCAAGAGCCTGCAGGGACGTTTGTCTCCATCCCTCCTGTGTGACTCACTCCCTTGTCTCCAGCTTCCAGGTGAAGTTTTTCTACCTGTGCCAGCTGGCCTACTGGCTGCACACACTTCCTGAGCTCTACTTCCAGAAGGTACGGAAGGTGAGTACTCACTTCCCCCTCTTGGAGGCCACTCGTCTCCCCTCCCCTCCTGCTGTTCCCAGCGCTGCCCCAGGCCCTTCGTCTAGAAGCACGGAGGTTGGGTGGCGATGGGGACGTGTTGGCGGCTCGAGTAAAGCGCCGAGTCAGAAGTCTGTAGAAGTCTCCATGCAGACCTCCAGGAGAGGAGGGCACCGGCGCCCGTCTCTTTCCTGCCTCCCACACTGGACATGTGGCTCTGGGGGAAATCGAAATCTCATCTTCTGGAGAGCGGCTGGAGAGGATTTTGCCTTTCCCACAGTCTTTTTTTTTTTTTTAATAGCTTCCTTCTGAATTATTTCCAAAAGCCCTGTTCCCCAGTCCCTGTCTCTTCTTTCTCAACCCAACCTCGCCCTCTGACCGTGAACCTGAAGCTGCTGCCTCGTCTGCCCTCAGGCTTTTCAGCGGCCTGATGCTCTGGCCTCTGGTGTGACCTGGGACCCTGGGACCGTCTGTGTTAAAGACATGCGGGGGGAGTGGCCTGGCTCACCCCGTCCCTCTGTGCTCCCCTCTGTTCCTGCGTCTTCAGTCAGGGAAGAGCACGGTCACCGTCTGCTTCTCTCGTTTGCAGGAGGAAATCCCCCGCCAGCTCCAGTACATCTGCCTGTACCTGGCCCACATCGCTGGAGCTTACCTCTTAAAGTGAGCGAGACCCCAGAGCCGGCCCATCTCCTTGCCCTTTTATGTGTGTGCATCTCTCCACACGTTCATTCAATTAGGAGGCATTGATTAGATGACTTCTGTATGCCGGGCATCATGCTAAGACCTGGGAAATACAAAGATGGATAACAGATAATTCCTTTGTCTTTAGCGGTTCATCCTTGGCCTAGTGGGAGAGTGTTACAGACGTAGACCAGCACGGTTTAGCGTGGTGAGCACTGTACTGTGTGTCATCTGCCATGGGAACCCAGACGGGTGACTGACGACCTCAACGCAAGACCGAGCCAGGAAAGCCTTCTGAGGGGTGTCGTGCTTGAACCGTGCGTGGCTTTGCAGGTTGAAGGCAGCCCGGAGCTGGGCTCCTGCCTCATGTCCAGTGGCGGACGCCGGCCGGGGCTTGGAGCCCTAGGATCCCTTCCCCTCTGATCTGTGATGAAATGTGGAGTAGTCGCTGGGTGGTTGTTCAGAAGTTGGAAGAGTTGCTATTGTGTTGGGCCTTAAATGTCTCCTTTATAAAAAGAATCATATTGATGAAGAGGATCAGTCATTGCTCATTTGGAATTTTCTTGAGCTTGATCCATGCCGTGTAGGAGAACACCCTGTACTTTCTCTAGGCCAGCATTTCGAGAACTTGTATAAATTTCTGCTAAGGTGCCTGGAGGTCCTGGGGCCCCTTATCTCCTGGGTCCCCACAGCAGGCATCCTGTGAGAAGGACTGACTCAGGTGGCAGAGTCAGGAGGAAGGCAGCTGTCAAACACTGCTCTCCCGTCTCGGGAGGCCTAGGGCAGTGTCGCTCCCTAGAGGGGTCCTGGAGGGGCACAGGCTGTGTGGTGGGGCCAGCTCGGTTCCTGTATTGGATGCTCGTGTGTCGCACGCAGGCTGGGTGTAAGAAAGCCAGGGTGTGTTGTCGCCCCAGCAGTGTGTGGCTAGGCCCAGGGTGAGAATGCACAGGCAGGACCACATAGAAGGAGAGCTTCCCGCTGCTCTCGAGTCCCTACTGTATCATCACGTATTCCTCCCAAAGATGTGAGACACTCCAAGGTCTGTTTTCCCCACATCCGACGTGTCCCAGCGAAGGACAAGGGCAGGTGTCTGACCCTGTTTGGACCGAGTCCTGAGAATTCTGGTTTTGGAGTTGCACTAGAACCAAGAGGGCAGGGGGCAGCAGATCCTCCACAATCACCCATTCCGTTCCATTCCCAGTGAGGCTGGCACTGTTTTCAAGGTGAGGCCTCCTCTCTCTGCTCCTTTAGGGAGCATGACCTCCTTTCTCCTCTATCCTTGTTGTAGTTTTCAGAGGGGAGTGTGGGGAAGGGAGAGACCCTTGGCTGCAGGATTTCCCAAGGAAGAAAGACCTTTGAAATGCTGAAGGATACGGGGTCTCTTTTTGGTGAAGAGCTTGGCTTTGGGAGGCCGTCACTCACTCAGCACATACCTGAGCCCTCTCGTGGGCCAGACGCTGCTCCAGGAGCTGTGGTCACGTCTGGGTGAAGGCAGACACAGCCCTGCTCTTCTGGGGCGTCCGTTCTCTGGGAGGCAGACCATAGCTAAGGAAATAAATAAATAGTTTCCCAAGGTGGTAAGTGTAATGAAGAAAATGAAGCAGGATAGTGTAACAGAGTGACGTGTCCACCTGGCTCCTTTGGTGTGGTGAGGGAAGGCCTCTCTGAGGAGGTGCCTCAGGTTGAGGAGTGAATGATAAGAGCCAGGTACATGAAGAGCTGGGGAGATTGCCAGGCAGGCAGAGGAAACAACAGGTGCAAAGGCCCTGAGGTAGGAGTGGGCATAAAACCCAATGTGGCTGGAGTACAGAAAATGAGGATTGGGACAAGGCCATGGGCCAGATCATGCTGGACTTTCTAGGCCATGTGAAGACATTGGGTAGTTTTCACATCATCTCTTGACCATTCTCAGGATCCAGTGACCATAGTGAAAGATTTCTACTTCTTTGGTCTCATTCAGTGGAATCGGCTGGATCCTTATTTATCACTGCCCGTGGGAGTGCTCCCACATGATCTCATCGACTTCCTGAAGCCCTGCGTGTTTGGCGGGATCTGTAATTTCACTTTGCAGTCTTTTCACATTAGTTTGAACTTCAACTGTCTGCAGGAAACTGCCTAAGAAACAGTAACAGTGTCACGCCTGGAATTAAGCAGAGGGGCATGTCTGAGTGGGTGCTAATTTTATAAGAGTTCGGTTCACTCGCACAGATTTTTGCGTTATTAGCTGTGAAGACTTGGATGGTGACAGATCAGATGGTGGGAATCCCTCGTATTTCTGCATGAAAGTGCAGCAGACTTGTTACGTGCTTGGTCCTGGGCTAGGGGACAAGGACAAGGTGACAAGTGCTGTAAAGAGCCTAGGATAGGCTCCCTGTAGGTGCAGGTCAGGGCGCCTACGCAGACAGGCCGGGTGGACGGCCAGCGGGGTCACTATCAGGAAAAATTCTTAACGGTGTGACAGCAGAACTGCATCCTCAAGGAGGAGGCAGGGCCAGCCGGGAATGGGGGGTGGAAAGCAGACCCGGGGCGCGGGCCCCTCGCTCTGCTCTCGTGGCGTTTCGGGGGGACTGTGAGGCTCTTCCGTTTCTCCGCAGCCTGAGCCGCCTGGGCCTGATCCTGCTGCTGCTGCAGTACTCGACCGAGTTCCTCTTCCACATGGCTCGGCTCTTCTACTTTGCGGACGAGA